TTAAAAAATAGTAAATATTATCTATTTTAATAATTATATATCTTATAATATTTTTTAAATTTTAATTAATAATTAATAAAATCGACCATATTCCATTCATAATACTTTGAAAAAATAAATAACTAAATACCAAAATAACTTTCAACCACAATTACAATACAATATAATTCAATTACTCTGTACAACCACAACTACAGTCACAGCATCTCTCAGCAATCCCAAATGCACCCTAAACTTTGATGAGGGAGCAATTTGCTTGGTATTTACAAAATCGATAGAGTTAAAGGTTTAGATACGTATATTATTAAAAAAATAAAATTAGTAGCAATTATATTAATTTAAATACATCAAAAATTAATAATTATTTATGTAATTAAAGAAACAAATACAAGAAAAAATAATATCAAACAAACAATCCTTTTACAGGGGAAGCTGATATTTTCACTCTCTCTGTCTTAAAATAATAGTAGATTTTATTTGATTTTATTTTCAAAGAATTTAGTAACAAATTATATTTTTATTTATATTGTTCTTAAAAAATAAAAATAAAAAAGACTTTTTCGCGATATTGATGAATAATTAATATTAAAAAATATATATTAATAAATGTAATAATAAAGTCAAAATAAAAATTTTATGTCTTTCAAAAAAAATAAATTTTTTAAAAATAAATTGTAAATAAAAAAATTTATTATTACGAGAAGAAAAGAATATCTTCTAAGGATTTTCTTTATCAGCAGTTAACTTTTGATAGTTTAAAAAAAAAAGGAAAGAAACAATGATTTTAAAGTCACTGCTTCTAGCTGTGTTTCATAAACACTGGCTTAGATGTGCTCTAAGTAATTACATGCTCTAAGTGCTTACTGAACTAAATCGATAACATTTGGAGCTTTATATATACAAATTAAGATCGAGACATCTCTGAATGGACTAACACTCAATATTGACAAATTTGGTTGTGGTGATCGCTGTGCCATGCCATTCAATACGTTGCGTCATGTTTGATACCTACTGCAACATTTGGCCTCTTTTGCAACTTAAAAAGAGAGAGAGAGAGAGAGAGAGAGAGAGAGAGAGAGAGAGAGAGAAAAGAAGACATTATATCAAATTAGGTCTAAAATTATATATCTTGAAAATATAAATGATCATAATTCGTTATGTTTAATGGAGTATATACCAAGCTCTCTTTATGGAGAATTTTAGTCTCGCTTTATGTTGGTGATGAATATAGAGCACATTATTTAGATTTATAGTGCAATTGTTTAAGGTACAGAAGGGCAGGCATTAGGTTTTGTGGTAGCATCAATGTAACTAGTTGGTTCTGCTAGGACCTAGGAAGCAGCTTAATTAATTTTCAATGATGAGATTCCAACTAATTAATGAAATTGATAAGGACCAAGGTTCTGCTAAATATACTACTAATAATTAAGCGCAAAGTATTTAATTTTTAAAAAACACCAATAATTAGGGAATAAAAATCTACTTACATACAGATTTTACGCATCATATTTATATACAATTTTTAACAATTTATTTCTATATTTTTAATAATTGAGATTTTTTATAACTTTTCAGATGAAAAAGATCATTATCTTTAATAAATATAATAAAAAGTTAATAAATCTCAATAATTAAAAGTGATAGAGATAAATGATTAAAATTGATGTAATTGTGATAGATAAAATTGTATATGAACGGATACTAACTTACAATTAGGTTGGACTAAATTTCATAGGGTTCATAGCTTCTTTCTTATTAGAATTTTACCCTCCCCTTAATGCCCCTAAACATAATTTCAGTGAAGTCTATTGTTCTGTTCACTTGTTAGTGTGAAGTCCATATTGAAATGTGCAATTCAATTGTACTATACTATATAATTTTTTTTCCAGGTGAAAATTCATTAACTAATTAAATTTTACAAAATATGATTCAATACATAATACAACCATTACAATTTTGAAGGAAAATAGAAGAACAAAATAACGGAATCGAGTCAAAAGTTACAAAAGAGTCTTACATGAGTCTTATATGAGTGCATTATCATGTTTGATGAGTGTGTCAACAATACCATTAACTTCCCTATAGATACATCGGATGGTCCCTACACTAAATAATTTAAAGTAATAAATTTTAGATGATTTTCTCCATATTAAGGCCTATGCTCTCATATATTTTGGAAAGTGGATAAAATAGAAAATAGAAAATAGAAAACTATACGTTTCATACCATCTAAAGTACTACTTTAGATCTGGTCCTCCATATCTGAGGAAGGTGATGGACATAAATAACCTATCTTATAGGTGAAACCAATTGATATTTTTTAAAAATAAACAACGGAATTAGGAATTTACACTGCATCGTAGGTGTGCTAAATTTCTTTCTTTCTTTTTCTTTCTTGGAAAGAAATAAATTGGAGAAAAATTAAAAGATGCTAGGAAAAATAAAAGATGATGATGCTTTATTTTTTCTTCATTACAGGAACTTTCCCCCCCAATGGATTGCAGAGATTTTTCCATTTACAGCAGCAGATAACTTCCTATTACGACCTAATCATTCGCGCACGCTTAACCCCAAATCCCCCCCTGCCCAACATTTTGCGTCATCTTGCACCCACTCCCCCACGTGAACCTCTTTCTTCCCCTCCTCCTCTTCATCTCCAATCTTCACTTTGCACAGTGGAGATCTATCCATGTTAAACTTACAAAAATTCTTGGAGCTAGCTCTCTACCCATTAAACCTTCCTTTATTTTCTCTGCATTTTCCAGAGATAATACATACAGGGTCAGTGTCCTCTAGTTTAATTCCATTGTTCAGGGCAATACCAATGGAGGGAAGGAACTTGTTCATCCGAGAAGAAATTGCATGTCTCTTCTGCATTGAAGAAATTCTGCTCCTCCATCTTCACAAAATGTTGAGGCTGATACGTTTTCGGGAATTGGTAGCAATTCATGGAGGATGATGGAGACGATGCGGCCGCTGCCGTAGACATCAGGAATTGCTGGTTCGGGGGAGCCCCAGATGAGGAAATTGCTGGGTTGGGGCTGTTGTCTTCGTTGAGGATGGCACTTGTGTCACTGTCTGATGACCCATCTTTCAGGTCAGGGAAAAGAGAGGTGCCGAAGGTCTCGTAGTTCGGTTCTCGAGGCTCCGATGAGGCAGCCAGTAGCGGTTCACTATGTTCCAGTGTTTTTGTATCATTTTCCGGCAGAATCACCTCCTCTTTCACTGAAAGATTGCTCTCTGTGTTCTCTCCATTGAGCTTCGCTTGCAGCTCTCTTATCTGCACCATGAAACCAAACATATATGTATATTCTAAAAACTCTGAATTATAAATTACAAACTCGGACGAGAACTGTGATTTATGATCCAACCTCTTTTCGAAGAGCTTCATTGTCCTGTTGAAGGCTTTCAAAATTAAGCTTAAGAGCTTCAAAATTGGCTTTGAGGAAGGTGTAATCTTTCTCCAATTGCTTTGTCTTCCACCGGGCACGGCGGTTCTGAAACCAAACTGCCACCTGTCTTGGCTGCAGCCCAAGTTCTTGGGCTAGTTTGACTTTCCTCTCTGGTTCAAGCTTGTTTTCGATCTCGAAATTCTTCTCTAAGGCCTTGACTTGATCTACACTCAAACGGCGTTTCTTCTCGGCGACATGGCCGGATTCTTCCACGCACCCTTCTTCATCCAATCCATCTAACATGGATTGAAACTCCCTACTGTAGACATGGTTGGTCCCCGGATTGTTTTCATCTACACAAACGGTAAACAAGATCAAGATATGATAAAACAGGTGAGGCAAGCGAAATAATATATATATATATATATATATAACTTCCATGCAAAATACAGAATGAGAATCAAAGAAAAGTCATGGGACAGGAAACATTATATGGGCATGTGAAAGTAAGATTCTGTATTAAACCTGAGGTTGGGCACATGGACATCAAAGCACCCATGGAATCAGAGCTGCTAAGTCTCTTCATGGTTGCAGAATTGCGAACAACTCTTAAAAACAAGATCTTTTTTTTCTGGGTCTCCTTCTCCCTCTGAAAGTTTCCTACTTTGTGTGTTTTGATTGTTGATCTTTTAATAGCTTAAAAGATTGTATAATGCAATTTCACTTGTAGGAAGAAGAATTCTCTTGTCCAACACTACCAGAGAAACTTGTACAAGGCTGCAGTACAACCACCCTTCCCTCCCAACTTCTCCATATTTCTTCCCCTTTTTCACCACTACCCCCTTCTCCTCACCCATCCAAAAGGAGAAAAACAAGCAACCAAACCCAACAAGCAAAAACCAAGAAAAAATAGATCAAAACCCAATTTAACAAGAGAAGTACTTAAGCAATCAATTACAATTATGCTCACTCTTTCTCTCTCTACGTCACTACTCAATAAAAATTCTAAGATCAAAGATTAGAGTAGTCTATGACCATTCATCTACAAAGAAAAGCAAGGTAAGGAAGGAAGAGAGAGGGAGAATGGAGAGGAGAGTGAGGGAGTACAGAAACCTCAACCCAGCTGGCCCTTACACCATTTCTCTTTCTTTAAATAAACCAGAGATGGGTCAGATGGAGGGTTAGAATCTGACTGTGGTTAGGTACACTGCAGTTTAGCAAATGAAATGAACCCAAAATTCATCCCAAATGCAGTTATCACCGGGTGTAACCGGTGGCTTTCCGGTTTTCGACCGTTTTAAAAAAACAGGGGTTTTGTGCAGTAAATTAATTAGGAGCGTCTCGGTTTGGAGGGGGAATTGTGGAGTACGGGGTCCGGCTTCGGCTCGGCTTTGTTTTTGGCTTAGAAGAGTTGGCTAGCGTCAAGTGATTTGTGACCGTTACTTCTCCTGGTCGGTGCGATTAATCGGCGATATCTATTAGAAGTAGCTCAAAAACTTACTGTTTAAATAATTTTTGGGTTAGTTGCTTGTTCTTCTTACTTTTCAACCCTTTACTTTCAAAAAATTAAAAGAAAAAATGATAAAAATTATTTTAATGCATGCTTTAAAAATAAGGTAATTTAATCTTTTTTAATAAAAAATTACTAAAATAATGTAGTTTTAAAATGATTTTTCTCATAATCTTTAAGAGATAAGGCTGACAAAAATTTTTTTTCATAATTTTTTTTATATATTTTGAAATTAATCTCCTTAAAAAAATTATGTTAAAGGACGCATTTTGTACATCGGTTTAGTGTATTACTTTTTTAAAAGAAATGGCTCCAATTGAATTCCAAATATAATTTATAAAATAATATTTACTTATTTTTTGGACACTCAAAGAATATATTTATTAAGAAACTGAGTATGAGGATACTCAAATTCATTTATAAACACGCCAAAATACAAACCAATTCAAATTACCCCCATTTTTTAGACTTATCATAAAATAACATTTACTTATTAATAAACTTAACTCTTACGATTACAAATTTAACTAATCTTTTTATGGCAACATGTTGATTTAAATATTTTGTCATACCATCTCAAATAACATATTATGAAAAAGTATTTGCCACAAGCAAATAGGCAAGACATCTTGAAATTTAATAAAAAATTATGTATTAAATGAATAAATACATATTATATAATGAATTTTAATAAAATGAAAATAATCAATCATTAACTAATATAAAGGTTTATGAAAATGTTTATTAAAAAAATTCTTACACTCATTTTTCTGCAATTATTTTCATCCCTTGTTACAAAGTTAGCCTAGAACCTTCTTAAAATGTACCAATTCCTTAATAGTTATTTTGGGTGCAAATATGCATCAAAGACTCTTTGTTCTCTGTTTCCATTATATGCAGTTGTACTTGTATATACACCCTTCTGTCAATTTTCATTGCCCAAATAAAGAACTGAGGAAGTACGAAAGTTTATTATTGGGCTATGTTAATCCTGTTTTCAATCATAATTAACATTCATTCGTGTCACGTAAGGCTTTAAATATAATACATATGCCAATTTTATTGCAAAAAAAGGATGCTTATAAAGTGATGTTGCACTGGATTAAGCATTTTCGATTTATAGCAACAGATATAGCCCTTGCTTACATATAGCTATTAATTTTTAGCCTAGATCGTATCTTTTGTTGAAATGTCACACTCTATTGATCTAAGCAAAGTTTTTTTTTTTTTTTTTTGAACGAATCATTCATTAAAATAAACAAGTTCTACCTCAATGCTGTCATGATCACTGAGTCCATCCTTCGTTTTCCTCTGTTTTTGGGTTTATCAAATTCCATATGTTTACTTTAATTATATGAGGAAAGAACATTTATACACACACGAAATACATTTCTAGATTGAAAGCAAATGCATCCAATGAAAGCTGTGGCCTGATGGTAACCACAAAGACTTTGGTATCTCTAAGTTTTAAGTTTAAGTCTGTCATATACAGATTAAGTAAATTTTTCAATATGTGTGATTATGAAATGTTTGAATTAAAAAATAGTGTATTGTTAAAACTTTCATTATCAAAATAAGATCAAAGAAAAAAATGCTTTTCTTTCATCCCCTTTGGCGGATCCCTTTTTCACGTCTTCTTGAATTTGGGAACAAAAAAATTGAAGAAACCATAGCATGCATAATTTTTGCATTCTTCATTTAACCTGGATGTTCTCCATCAAGGTCATATTAACACTAGTGGAGAGACCCCTCATCTTTGCCATGGATGCACCATGGGGCCACATCTCACAAGGAATCAAATGATGAGCTAGGCCCCTGTTTACTGTGGGCCCAAGGGGGGAGACATGGGCCAAGTAGATTGATACAAAATTATGATTGATAGATTGATTCTATCACTCCACAAGCCCATGATGAGCAATCTCAAAACCAGTGTAATTGGAATCAAGGATTTACCCTTCAAAAACTCATTAACAGCTTCACAATTTGTGTCACCTCTGAACTGGCAAAAAAGAGATCCAAGTTACTAAACATTTCCACATGCAATGTTTCCACCAATGTCTCTGCATTCTGATCCTTTTGGCCTACTGCTTGTGGTGGTGAAAGGAGTCAGAAGCTACCATCGCAGCAGCTTCCCGTATCAATCACTTTGTGGTCAATTTGAACTAGTTACCTCACTCACTTTATATCAGACTCGACTGATTAACTGCTCTAGTCACAGCAACATCCTGTATCACTATATGATATATTTGAAGGTTAAATACC